CTACAGACATAGACAGTTTATGAATTATTGTTTGTTTGTTTTGAATTTACGCGGTTCCGGGCGATGTGACTTCTTTGTTCAATACTGTATATATATATATATATATCCGTGTCAGCGTAAATTACTTGTACCTGATGAGGACAAAACCTTGTCGAAACGTTGTACATTTGCTGTTATGTTAAACTTGTTTTAAAGTTTTTCTTCATTACCCATTCAAGCCATCTCCAACCATTATTATTTCTAGCTATATAGGCCAAGCTTAAAAAAATGTTTGTTTCTCCTGGCAATTCACCCCTTTGAGATATGTAGGTAATTTTGTTTAAAGCATTACTGTAAATGCTTCCATAGTATAACTGTATGCATGTCTCTGTGTCTATGGATATATATTGTGCAGTAGTAGTAATTGTAATATGTACTCCATAGGTGTATGTTTGTGTAAATTTTTCTTTCAATGTCTTAATATATACTACATATTACTCTATTTTCCTTTCCAAAGGCTTTGAATTCTTTAGGCCTGAATTTCTCTACCTCATGCTTGATAGTACGCTTTGCAACATGTAAGCTTCTACAAAGCCAGCTATTCTCATTTTTCAACACAGACTCCATAATTCATATTTTTCATGTTCAGTCATGATCATCATAGTATTTGATAATTACAATGGGATAGCATACCTGTAGGTTACATTTATGAGTTAGAGTAGCATTCTGAGTCTGATTAAAAACATAATTCCTGATGTATGTTAACAAATTTGTTATAAAAATGCAGTTTAGAATTGAATTTTTTGATATTATGTATTTTTTTACTTTTCAGTTTCTTGAAAATAGCATTAAATTTAATGTAAATTACTAATAGTATCATCATTGCTCAGGCAAAACATAATTTTCATAGCCTTCAATCTTATTTGGTTACAGAGCCATGAAATAAACAATCAGACCCTTCTTGCCATGCCCACCTGTCACATCCTCTCTTTCAGAAATTGTCAATAGTTCTCTCTAATGTTAAATACTATATTACTTATAAACAATAGAAAGCCAAGATTTTCATCTAACAAATGTTGTTTCTTGTAAAGAGAATTGTCAATTTTACTTTCAGTTCAAGCTTGATTCCCTTGTGAAACACATTGACAAGCTCAGATGAAGTTTTAGCAGCTTTTGTCACATAGTTAGAAAGCCAGAAAAATTTGATAGTTATGGGAAATTGTTTGCTTTTTGTACATTATTATACTGTGTTCTTTGGTGCATTATTTGATTAAATAAAATATTATTTATTGCAGTACTACCATTATAAAAAGTAGGGTTAATTATCATTGACAGTCAACAGCAAAAAAAAAAGAAAACCCAGGCAACTATTTTATTTCTTTCTTTTTTTTCATGTGTGTGCTTTATTTATTATTATAAAAGTAACTAAAATGTAAAAATAGGAAACATTTTATGTTAGTTAAGATTAGATTAGATGAAATAAATGTTAATAATATAATTAACTTTTTCATGAGGTACGCTCGTGCGTGATGTAATTCAATAGTATCATGATCTGCATGTTTGCCAAGTGACTTACAACTCATAATGGTGTGAATAGTAGTTAGACAGGATTCAAAGGGCAATAAAACAACAATATTTAAGTATAAATAGATGTATACTGTTATGAAAAAATGTAGTTTCATATTACAATTCAAAATCATTCTAGAAAGAAAGAAAGGGTAATTTAGATTAATTAAATTTTTTTTTTTGTGATTATGAGGTCAATCAAATTGACCTACGTTGTATAAAGTTAGAGTAGAGAAAATAACAAAGTATAAAGGTTTACTGAAAAGAAATGTATGAAGTTTATTTAGGAGGTTATGCAAATAAAATTGAGATTTTAGAGACAACGAAAAGTATTTTTAATCGTAATGTGAAAATCACTTTGAACTTGAACTAGTATATAGAAATAATGTATATATTCCTGAACAAGTCTTTAATAAAAATACTTCATTAAAAATTGATTTTTTGTGTACAAAAGATTTGGAATGTTTATTAAATGTCTGCTAAATTTTGTTAAGATCACAAGGTGCATTAAAATTAAGTGTATGGAAACTATAATAAGTACAAAATGGTTAGAAGGTTAGAAGAGAGTTAGTATACCAGGTTGGAGATCATATTATCGTTCATTTTGCCATTTTTGTTTTTGTGCTTACAGTATTTCTTGTATTTACAAGAATAAATTTGTGTGATTTTATGAATATGCTGTTCATAAATCTTTGTACCAGAACTTGACATGGAACATGATCTTAAGTATTGAGTAACTTTGTCTTTAATATTTGAACAATTAATGTGCAGTGCATATCATCTTCAGCCTTACATTTTGAAAGTTTATTATTCATTAGAGTACATTCTTTGTGTAGTATATAATGTTTTCTGCATTCAATGTATTGAAACAGACAGTTTTTTTTTGTGATCATTTTAAACTTTGAAAAAGAAAAAGAATACGGTTATAAACAACCCTTTTCTTTTAAATTGATTTATTAGTAATATGTTTTGAAACAGTATTATGTATGATAATAAGAATGTGAATAAATGTCAAGAACTAATTATTTATAATATGTTTTTTTAGTTCCTTCACCAACAACAAATGTGATGACAACTAACAATATATTACCTACAACAGCCACTGAGACATCTACTACAGTTACTGTACCTGTCACCAGTGTGCCAAACACTCAGCCTTCCGTCCATCTGTATAATCATCTAGAGCTACAGAACCCCCCAGTTTCAGCAGTGGCACTATCTACCCTCCCATGTATTCCCACCTCTTGTTCTGCAACATTTCAGCAACAGACAATACCATCTCATGGTAAAATAGCTGATAGCAGTCGCCGTGGGACTGTAGATGAGATAATTGAGATCGTAGCTTCTACACCAATTTCACAAGATGACCTTGTTTCTTCCTTAACAAGCAGAGTTAATCATCACACAACTGCAGCTTCTGTTGTCACACCATCAAAGGTGTGGTTTTAGATTATATTTTATTTTAGTCTTTTTAACTTTGAGTAATATATCATAGAATATTGAATTTAATGAATATGATGGTGTGGTTGAGCTAAATCAATTGCAATTCAGTATTTTTGTTTGTGAGAGAAATTTGGTTACTTACCTAGAAAAAAAGAACATATTCATTCAACCTCAGTTACATTTAACTTTTAGTAATATTTAGACAACTTGTAAAATATTGATTTAACTATTTCCGTATGAACTTGGTCATTCTGACAGATATTGTAATCACCTGGTAACAATGAAGGTATCCATACTGTAACTGTTAATGTGGTATGTGTATTTTCATGAAATTTAGCAAGCTTTAAGTAAACATTACAAGTATTTTTTTTTTACAAAAAAAAATCAGATTTTGAATTAAGTATTTCCAAAAGATTTGTCCATGAATACATGGAGTCAGAGTGTTGATTAGTCTGAGGGCAAGGTAATTTTCATATTAAGGTCAAAAATACTTTTTTCATCTTATAGTTTTAAATTTCTTTTGCATAACCTCTAAAGTCTCCTAAATGACTCTCAAAGCTTTTTTTTTTAAATAAAACTGTATTGTGAGTATTATTTTTTATACCATAACTATATGTGCTCAATTGATTCAACCAATCTTGTAACCACCACAAAAACATGCAAAATAAATATAAGTTACCCTTTTTCCAATGCTGCATAGTTTTGGATTAGGTTGAACCTCCACATTGCATTCCACATTCTTACTATTGTTTGGATGTCAGTTCCTGGGGTGACAGGTGTTGAATATGCACACGAGGGCTTGGGTTCTCAGAAGGTACATACTCCTTTCCTTCTGGTTCCTGAGTCTTAGATGAATGGTAGAGGACCTCCTTCATCTGGCCCATATTGATTTTCTGATTTTGGTCTGATGCACCCTAGCCATTCTACATCATGGGCATGTCTCGTTTCAGCTGGTAGAGGACCTCCTTCATCTGGCCCATATTGATCTTCTGATTATGGTCTGATGCACCCTAGCCATTCTACATCATGGGCATGTCTCGTTTCAGCTGGTTGAGGACCTCCTCTTACCAGGGATGGGATGTTCCTTTCCAAGTTCCTACAGTTTGGTGCTAGAGTTGATCTCCTAACTATGGTTGGATGTGCCATTTCCACTCTATCTGGGGCACGTTTGGGTAATTCTCATATGTGTTTCTTTGCCACTTCTCTAGTGACAGTCATACTTCATTCCTTCGTACTCAAATATAGCAAATGATTGTTTTTTTACTTGCATGAAAATAGTATGGTGAGTAATTGTAATCATTCAGTGAAAAATGTCTTTTTTTCAGTTCCATGTTTCATAATGTAGTGAATAAAAATAGTAAATTCAAAATAAATCTTCAGATATTTAACTTTTTTTTTCAAAACTTTTTGTATACATATTAGGCTCAAAAATGGGCCTAACTCAATTTAATTTTTTTTTATAAGTGAATAGAAATATTGGCAGATAATGAATGATGTTGGATGAGGGTGCATAGGATAGGTTACTTCATCAACAAAGATAGCACATTCATGAAATTTAGGGAAAGGCTGCACACTTGCCCTATTTAATATAAACTAAGAAATTATTATGCCTCTTTTTTTTTAGTATAGAACTTGAACCTGAAAAATTGTTCTAGTATAAAACTCTTTGACATGAAATTAACCATAGTTTAACCACTGTCATTTTGAGCATCAGAAAAAAGTAGCCAAAATTGTGTGTGAAATTAAAGTTATTAATGACACAAAAACAAGGAAGATCTTGGACTAAATAATTAAATGACAAGTAAAGCCAATGCACGGTTTAATCCTATCCTGACGGGCATCTTTTACTGTGCATGTCTCATGAGGTTTTAGTGACATACATTCAAAATTTTATTAATCAATGTTTTGTTTATGTTATACCAATTAATATAGCATAAAATTTTAGCTAATAATCCATATTTAATTAGTACATATGTTTTAAGTTCTTAATTTTATTTGGCAATATTTTAATAAATCCTTAATTTCCCCTAGGACACATTTTCTCTAGGCACCTCCTCTTCTCTATTTTATCCACCACCCTTCCAGTATGTACAAAATTAAAAGTAAATTACTCACTATAAAATTACCATTGCTCAAACAACCATAATTTTTATAGCCTTCAATTTTTTTTGGTTACAGAGCCATCAAATTGAAAATCGGACTGCTTTTGTTACACCCACCTGTCACATCCTCTCTGTCAGGATTTGTTAATAGCTGTCTCTTATGAGTAATTCTATGTTATCTGTAACCAACAGAATGCCAAATGACTTATTATATTACATTGTTTTCTGAATGTAGAATTGTCAATTTCATTGTTAGTACAAGCTTCGTTCCCACAGGAAAGATAATGAGTAGCTTGTATGAATTTGTAATGGGTCTTATTGCATAAATAGAAAGCTGGAGAAATTGTGATAGTTAGGGGAAATTGTCTACTTTTTGCATGTTATTAGTCTATGTTCTTTGGTGCATTATTAAATTAAATATAAATTATTTAGTGCATTACCACCATTAGTATAAAAAAAAAAGTTGGGTTAAGTGTCATCAACAGCAAGAAAAAAAAAGATTCGGGTAAGTTCTTTATTTCTTGTTTTTTGTATTTATTCTTTATTTATTATTATAAAAGTGCCTAAAATGTTTTTAGTGATTACACGAAGGAAATTTGAGATTTTTGAGATGAGGAAAAGAATTTTTAATTTTGACATAAAAATTACTTTGCACACAAACTTTTCAAAACCAATACTCAACATATTCATGGAAGAATCTTTATTTTATTTTATTACAAATATTTCACTAAGAATTATGACTTTGGTTGGTCAAATTGACAGAGCCTGTGTTGAGAGTGTTGATTATATTGGGAAAACCAGATTGAAGGACAATTTTTGATATTCTTATGTCAGCCTTCATCCGCATGCTACACACACACACAGAGGTAACTTAACACACTGCTCTGCTGTAATATAGTTAAAAAATTAATATCAGTGTTTAATTATTGTCAGTGGGACACAAGGATTTTTGACTTGCAAGCTAAGATTAACATGTATGTTTTATGGACTTATAAGGCATTTGTAATATTTGATGGCAAAAATTTTTCCTGTTCTACAGTTTTCACTTTTAGTACACTTCTTTTTCTAATAGGCAAAAAAAGGAATAAAAAGGAAAGCAGATACTACAACTCCAATGACCAGTACACCAGTGACAAGTGATGTTAATGACATATCCAACTACCAACCTCTTCCTGATTTAAAACCTCCTAAAATGTCAGCAAGAAGAGAAAGTGGAAGGCCAGTTAAAAAGCCATCAAAAGAACTTTCAGTTGGACAAGTTGATGTAAGTTAAGATTATTATTTTTTATATCAGCATTATGTTATTGTTGCTTTACTTTTCTGAGAGACTTAATAATGGTGACTTAAAAATAAATTAATTTTTATTTATCTTTATTTTTGCAGTCTAACATTAAGACAAAGAAAGGGAAACAGTCAGAACAGATGAAGTATTGTACCAATATTTTGAAGGATCTCTTTCTCAAAAAGCATGAGGTATTTGTCAACTTAACCCTTTGTGGACTGGAGGTTATTTTCCATCTCACAGTGGAAATACTTATTCACATTCATTAAACTTAATACAAAGTTGCTAAATATAATCTAGTTTTAGCCTTAAAAACTTGTGTATTTTATTTTTATATCTTTATAATTTTTTTAAGGTATTGGGATTTGGAAAATTTTTGCAATAATTTCATTATATATATATCCAGTCAATTTCAGTCAATCTGATATTCATTAACTTATTTAATTTGATACTTTATTTTGCTGTTTGGAACAGTTGCCACTTCCAATTATAAGTCATCAGAAATGGTACAGACTGACAAAAATTTGTCAATGACCTAGTACCTCACTGTTCCCTTTATCAGGCTTGATATTTAGAATTTTGACAACAATATTTTTGGTTGAGATCAAATTATATGTGATAAATAAAGTTTTTTAAATCAATAATAATTTGCTTTACTTGTGCATTTGTTCAATGAATACAGTAAACTTAACAGTAATATTCAATATATAAGGATTTGAGATATTCACATAGTTTGCCTTCCTTACTGTATTCACTAAACCTTAGCTTACCTGATGTCATGTCTTAGAATAAAATTTCATTATTTCAAACATATATAATTTAACACAAAAACATTTTGTGGAAGAAAAAATTCTCATTTGTGATTGGTTCTCAAGTCTTCTGAATTTCCTATTAGATTCCTTTGTTTACTTCTACAAGAAATTTGGATAGCCAGTATATCAAGAAGCCACAAATTACTTTTCAAACCACTTTATTTACTCAACAGTGATGTGAATCTATATAAATATAATAGTACTGTCTGTTGGTACATCCATGGTACCACTTCCCAAGGTGTGAGGGATCTTCACCAAATTGGTAGGGAGGTTCTTTTTTTTGGGGGGGGGGGTACATACAAATTTTTGGTTTTGCATTTTATAGTTTTTATAAACATTTTTGCTTGAGTTTTGAAATATGATATGCAGTTGTGCACTTGACACTTGAATATGTTCACCAGTGATGATAGGATTAGAGTAGTTTTACTCTTTTATCATTACATTTGCAACATGCTATGTACTGTTTTTTTATGCAAAGTACTGTAAGACTTTTATAAGAATTATAGAAAACTATTAAAGAATTTCACACTGGTGGTTAGGGCACTTGACGTGCAATCTGAGGGTCATTGGTTCAAATCCCATTCTTGAACATGCTCACCCTTTCAACTCTGGGGGCATTATAATGTGATGGTCAATCCCACTATTCATTGATAAAGAGTAGCTAAGCATTGATGGTTGGTGATGTTACCTAGCTGTATTCCTTCTAGTCTATCACTTCAAAATTAGAGAAGGCTAGCACAGATAGACCTTGAGTAGCTTTGCACAAAATTCATAAACTAACAAACACATCTTCAAATCTCCTTGATAAAACCATAGAAGCAAAGAACAATAACAGCTACAAAAGTGAAATAAAGCAATGAGAACTGAAACTGAGTAATTGACTTTTTTTGTCAATGCATTTTTCAAAAAAAGTAAATATGTTGAATGATAGAACCTTATTAATAAACGTATAAAATGGAAATGTTAAGTAAGGTTATTTTTACCAATATGTATCTTACCTCCTCTCACAAAAAGCTTTTTCGACTTATACTGCCTTCTTTTGGTGCAAATTTTCGTTTGCTACTAGTCTTGATACTCCCACTTACCTTCACATATGTTAACATGAGATATCTGCATACTAACATGCAAATGATTATGCAGCAACTATCCACCAATAGGAGTGTGATACTACCCCTGTTGTAACTAGCACCCTCTCTAATCTTGCGGTTGTTAACCACTTCTCGATTGGCAGTCTTATGAAAAAGATGTGTTTTCATTTATGATTTGATTAATTTATTAAGAAGTTTGACTTAATTTTTCTACTTCATTAATATTGTCATTTACCATTTTTGTTCTCTTTTGTGGAGACTTACAAATTCTTTCATTTATCTTCTCTCCTCTTTCAGTTTCTAAGAGTTATACACACACACACACACACACACACACAGTTTCAGGTGGTTACGACTACCACTGCTGTTATTGCTGCAGTGAAATTACTGACAATACTCAATGGGTTGGAACCACGATTCTCAGCCCATACAGGTTCTAGGTCTGTCAACAGTTGACCTATTTCTACAACACTTAGAACACATTGATGACTGTCCTTTCATACCTTCTCAGGGTTTTAGTGATTGGGAAGAATTGGATTTGGACAGCCTCCCCCTCCTGATATGCGTGTCAGTCTCACGTAGTGTAAGTTTTTTCTTACACCCACACAATATTTGGTTCATGTTGGGGTGTTTTTCAACTCCCTCCTCCATTGGACCCAACCTGCTCCACTTCAGTCGAGAGTTATGGAACATCTCTGGTTTTGAGAGACCATTGGAGCCTTGTTAGGGATCACTTAGATGCCCTCTTAACATTCCTCTTCCCATACAGATGAACTTTGACTAGTGGTTGGATTGGAATAATACTAGTGAGTGTGTTCCTCTTCCAGAATGTCAACTTTTATGGATGCTTCTATTTCTGGTTGAGGGGGCATATCTTGACACTCATGAGGTTTTGGGGAGATGGTCTCTTTCCATGTTCTCTCTCCATATAAATCTCTTGGAACTTCTTGCTCCTATTTCTCTCCTCCAACATGTTTTTGCCGTACTACAGACCACTGCGTGTAGTGTTCTGCTGCTGGTTCCATAGTGGCTGCCTCATGCATGGTTTCCACTGCAGCATTGGTTTTTGGTGCCACATTCCCTTTTCTCTTCCTTTATCTTTGACACTCCTCCATCAGCTCTACTCTGGCATGCGTTCTCTGTCCATATTCGCGTGGCTTTTGTCCCTTCCCTCGCCAGAAGGACTGGACTTTCGCGTGTAGCTTCCTTTATTTCCCTTCCTGTTCATCCTTCCTCCACGGCAGTTTACCAATGTAAGTGGTACACATACTGTTTTTGGTCTGTCCACAGGGATTATAGTCCTTCTCATCCTACTACGGATACCGTCCTTTTCACCTTGTGTTTTTGAATAGGGCCTTTTGGTTCCTTCTGTTGTTGGCTATAGGGCAGCATTCTCTGCCACCTTTCAATTTACCAAATTTGCTTGTGTTTTCCAGTTGCCAGTCTTTTCCATGTTGTTTCATTCCTTTGTTTTCCCCTCCTTCTCGCCCTGCTTCACTTCCTGATTGGCTCCTCAATGGGGTCCTCAATGCTTTTCCCCATCCTCCTTTTGAACCTTTTCTTCGTGTTCATTAAACCACCTTTCTTTGAAGTCCCTGTTCCTGCTCTTGTTGGCGTGCAGATGTCATCATTCTGTTGTGTCTGCAATTGATATTCCCCTTGTTTTGTTTCATAGTTCCTACTTTCTACTCTTTCCTGATCATTCCTTTATTATTATTATCGTCATATTATTCCCACTTTTGAGATAGACTGCTCAGCTGGACCATTTGTAGGTATACCTTACAGTTTTTTTGCTTTTTAAATACGTTCATCCCAGACTGTACATTTATGGATTAACTTAAATATAGTAAACAGGGATCACTGCCCATCTCTGATGTTCTGTGGCATTTGATGCTCGTCTTACCATGGACCTGATATACAATTTCAGATGCTGCCAGGTGTTGGATGATGCACTTCGTCAACATGATTGCTTTTCAAAATAGGGTATCCCAGTCACCCATTTTACTGTCTCCAGTGCTGTGGTCCTCTGGCCTCTCCAACACATTATTTTCCTCCTCCTTCTAATGGAGTAGGAGTGTACTTGCCACTTACCAGTTTCTAATGACTGGGGTGGTGGACCATGGAGGCCTATCCTCCTGTGTGTGCACAATACCACTCAGTTGAGAGTAGGGTGGTGGCATTCTGCCAGTGTAGATGGCATGATGCCCTTCCTACTGCTGACCCAATGTATAGTTCTAGATGCCACCAGGTGTTGGATGTAGCACTCCACCATATATATTGCAGTTTTCCCTTCTAGCTGAGGTACCCTCCTTCCTTCTGTCTGCTTGTTGTCAGTTCCCAGGGATCGAGTGTTGGTTGGAGCCGTACCAGCCACATA